TACAGCAGTGTAGATGTTGCAGCTCAGGCTTTGGAAGTGGGGGAAGGGATCACAGCCCAGACACCACCCCAAATCTGAATGTCTACACTACTATATTTAGATCATCACCCTGAACCCCTCAATCCCCTTTAAGGCTACGTCTAGACAGCAGTGCTATTTCAGGATACCAGAAGTATCCCAAAATAGTTATTCCGCATCTTTAAACAAGCCCATTATTTCGAAATATCCCACAAGGGTTAAGGGACTTGTCGGAATAGTGCTTTATTTCGAAATCACCTGAAAATAAGCTATGCAATTTGTGCAGCACAGGTTGGGTAGCTTCCTTCAAGGTAAGGGTGCAGTGTAGACACACCCTAACTGACCCAGGCTCTGAGAATCAGGAGTTAGGGGTCTTTTCACTGCAGTGTAGACATTTAGTCTCTGTGTCTTATCTACAGGCCAGCCTTCCTCCGCAGGTTTCATGTTTTATGTACCGTCATTTGGGCGGAGGCGTAAGCCACAGATCCTTCTATATCTTCTAATACATGTGTTTTATTTATTTCACAAAACAGGTTTAGGGCTTTTTGAAGGAGCCAGCAGGGCACTTGGGGTCGAAGCAGGGTGAAAGGAAGATATTGTGGAGGTTCAAAGGGGAAACATAGTGATGGGGCATGCCTAATGGTTTTTTCCTATTCACCCCTCTTTGTTTGGCTTCATCTCATTAACATCAGATCCCCTTTCCCTGGTTCCTTTACCCCAAGTCCAGTCTAACAGGACCCAAGATTTTTTGGGGGGGTCTCCAGGGGATCCAGCAGCAAGAGGCACTCACCGGAGCACAGGCTGCACTGCGTTGGGCAGCGGCAGTCACACAGCAATATTGCACCCACGGCCCTGTCTGTTTGAGCTTTTGTCAGCAGCCTCTTTCATGGGGCAGGATGGCCTGCCGTTCCCGGCTGCCTCAAACTGCCATGGAACCTCCACCGCCGGGTCCCTGTGACATCAGGCCCTGGCTGTGACGCCGTGTTAGAACCTGCCGCTGCGTCCCCACCCCTGGGTCAGCAGCAAAAGCCCCGATTTAGCAGGGATGATAACGGTACGGAACACTTGCACAGGGATTCCCGATCCATGGGGAGGAAGCTCACCTCTGTGCAGAGGTCTAGGCACCAGCTACATCTCTCTTAAACCTTCTGCACAGAGATGCACTCCACCCTGTTATGGCTAGTTATGATACTTCATCCTATCACCCATGCCCTATGTGTGCCATAGTGAGCTTGACCTGAACTCTATACTTCTCCAGCATAGCAGACTGAAGCCACAGCGGCAGTTGAGTTAAAACCCAGAAGGATTTATTGAAAAAATGAACATGGATATTTTGTGTTGCATTCAATAATATATTTGACTTCCTTTTAAATGCTGCAGTGTCTCATTAGGGCCGGATTCTTAGCCGGCGTAAGTGGAAGTCAACGGAGCTATGCTGATTTGAGCCATCTGTGCAGTCGGCTGATTATTATTTGTTTGCAGCATGCTAGGTTCTTCCCAGCGACACAAGAAGGGATTGCCTCTGTCTCAACTAACTCACTGGATTATAAACCTACAAAATTAGAGTGGCCAACATAAAGATCACCACTAGATGACAACAGTGACAAAATATTCCACACAATTGTTGTCAAAATATGCAGGGGGTAGCTGTCTTAGTTTGTACAGGTAAAATGAAAAAAACAACAAATAGTCTGGTAGCTCTTTATAGACTAACAACATATGTAGGTGTATCATGAGCTTTTGTGGGCACAGCCCACTTCTTCAGATGACCGGAGTGTTGGATATCTAGGTCCAAAATAAATAGGGGAGATGGGAAGGGGGGTGGAAGAAGGAAATTGCCCCCTTTGACTATCTATTCTTTAGGTGCTTATACTCTTGGCTTTCCCTTGATATATTTTTTACCCACTGCCTTTTCCTGTTCTCCCCCCATTTTCCTTTCTTTCATCCCCCCCGTCCTTCTCCCCTATTTATTTTGGTCCTGGACATCCAACACTCCGGTCATCTGCAGAAGTGGGCTTTGCCCACAAAAGCTCATGATACACCTACATGTTTTGTTAGTCTATAAAGTGGTACCAGACCATTTGTTGTTTTTTTCTGTACAGACTAACTCAGCTACCCCCTGAAGCTATAGGAATCTGGTTAGTCGAGTTTCCCATGTAAGCAACAGGCTGTCAGGAATCCTTTTTCCACAACTTGCCAAGACCGTGTGCCAGTTTATGCAAGCAGAGGCTGTAGCTCTGTGTGTGTGGTCTTGTTATTTTGCTTTCAATGTCATTTTAAAATTATATACCACACACATACCCACAGTCCGGGTAAAACAGGCATTGCCCAGGACACATATTTGAAAAAAGATTCCTAACCTAAACCTTGCACGTGAGGGGAAAAAAAAGGGCTGGTTAAATAAAGTCTCAATTCATCAGGGAAACTGTCAAAGCTTTTAGAAATCAACTCATGCTTGGCGGTGGTCCTTGATCTTTGTTATTTCTCCAAGCCTGTATATAGAAAGATGGACAGTAGCATTAACACACTCATACAAACAACTTTTCATAGGGTTAGAAGAGATCTCAGGAATCATCGAGTCCAGACTCCTGCCCAAAGCAGGACCAACCCCCAACTAAATCAATCAAGCCAGGGCTTTATCAAGCAAGGCCTTAAAAATCTCTAGGAATGGAGATTCTACCACCACCCTAGGTAATCCATTCCAGTGCTTCACCACCCTCCTAGTGAAATAGTTTTTTCTACCTCCCCCTCTGCAACATGAGACCGTTGCTTCTCGTTCTGTCATCTGTCACCACTCAGAACAGCCTCTCCATCCTCTTTGGAAACACCCTTCAGGTAACTGAAGGCTGCTATAAATCCCCCCCCCTCACTTTTCTGCAGACTAAATAAGCCCAATTCCCTCTGCCTCTCCTCATATATCATATGTCATGTGCTCCAGCCCCCTAATCATTTTTGTTGCCCTCCACTGGACTTTCTCCAAAGCGTCCACATCCTTTCTGTAATGGGGGGTCCAGAATTGGATGCAATACTCCAGGGCTGTGTCTAGACTGGCAAGTTTTTCTGCAAAATCATCTGCTTTTGCGGAAAAACTTGCCAGCTGTCTACACTGGCCGCTTGAATTTCCAAGAAAGCACTGACGATCTCATGTAAAATCATCAGTGTTTTTCCGGAAATACTATGCTGCTCCTGTTCGGGCAAAAGTCTTTTTCCGAAAGACTTTTGCGCAAAAGGGCCAGTGTAGACAGCATAGTACTGTTTTCCGCAAAAAAGCCCGGATCGTAAAAAAGCGATCGGGGCTTTTTTGCGGAAAACCGCGTCTAGATTGGCCACGGACGCTTTTCCGCAAAAAGTGCTTTTGCGGAAAAGCATCTTGCCAATCTAGACACGCTTTTCCGAAAATGCTTTTACCGGAAAACTTTTCCGTTAAAAGCATTTTCGGAAAATCATGCCAGTGTAGACGTAGCCCAGATGTGGCCTCACCAATGCCGAATAAAGGGAATGAATCACTTCTCTAGATCTGCTGGCAATGCACCCTAATATGTCAGATTTCCTCATCTCCACAGGTCACAACCAACAGGACTTTATAAACACAGAGTCTCTCCTTCTCTCACTCAAGTGTGCTGCCTCCTTAGAGCTTTCAGCTATGAGGATTCTCCACCTGCTCCTTGTTTTTTTCTTCTTGGTGTACCGGGCTGCTACAGGTAAGGTGGAAATACAAGCCAGGCATGGTGGAAGGATCTGTCTTTGCACCTCTCGAGGATGGCAAGCATGAACCTGCTGTCTCAGAGTGCCACCTGCTGACCTTCAGTGACATGGCAATAAACCCAGTTTAGGGGGGAGGGATAGCTCAGTGGTTTGAGCATTGGCCTGCTAAACTCAGGATTGTGAGTTTAATCCTTGTGGAGGCCATTTAGGACAAAAATTCATCAGGGATGGTACTTGGTCCTGCTGTGAAGACAGGGGATTGGACTCAATGATCTTTCAAGGTCCCTTCCAGTTCTAGGAAATGGGCAATCTCCATTATAAAAATGGGGTTTCCTAATTAATTAAGGGGGTAGACCCAGGGCTGGCCCACAACACTTTGGCACCCAAGGCAGGGAGCTCAAATGACGCCCCCATACCCTCTTTTCTCCTGCCTGCCTGTTATGTCTCCTGTGCCCTCCTTCCTCCAGCACAGCACTCCACCATCTCCATGCAACTAGAGCAGTGAGAATACATATGCACCAGCAGCAGACACAATTTTCTACACTCTGGGTCCTCGTGGTGTTCCCCCCCCACACACACACACAGTCTGGCACCTGAGGCGGCCGCCTCAGTTCACCTCATGGTAAGGCCAGCCCTGGGTAGACCTTCCACCCCCACATCAAAAGAAATTGCCTGACATTTCTGATGCACAGTCCAATGGCAGAGCTCAGTTTCCAGGTGGGTCCAAATGTGGCTAAAACCTTTTCCTTTTGTAAAATTGTTCTTTTCTCTTTATGGACAATCATGTGTTTGCTTTTGATCTCACTTACCCCAGTTTTAAACCCGTGTAACGACAATGGATTCTGTAAAGTTACACCTGTTGTAGGCTGGTCAGTGTAAGAGGGAGGAGAATCAGGCCTTTGACCTTAAAGCCGATTGGCCTCATTTCCTCTGGTCTCCTCAATGTGGATGATGAGTTTCAGAGCAGAGGGCAGGGGTCTAGAAACCAGGAAGCTCCACAGGAGGTGTTAGATGCTGTACAGCCAACCTGTGACTGAATCCTGCTCCTCTGATGACACAGAGGGAAAAGATTTGTAACCATCATAAGAAATAAAGATCCACCTATGAGCTCATTGGAACCAACAGAGATGGATGGTCAATGGCCTATAAACACCTACGTGTTGAAATAACATGTGATAGAGATATTTTTAAAGTATTTTCGTTTTAGTTGGATTTCTAGAGGAGAGTGATAGAAACAGTCCCCCTGCCTCCCACCAGTACACACACATCAGCAAAACGACCTTGAACCACTTTGCTTTTATTAAAAGGAAAAGTAACGCATTGTATAAGGGGGATGCTTGGGTTCTCTTCTGCAATGCCTTCAGCTCACAAGGGTCTTTACAGCCCAGATAAACAGCACTTTAGCATTCCACTGAAGCAGGGTTGGATGATTTTAGAAGCACGTGTCTGCCTGCCAGATTCCCGGAGATCCTGCCTAGACAATCAGTCAAAATCTCGCCTGCACAAAGAAAAGAGAATCAGATGTTTTGATGTCTGGCATAGAACAGGGTTAATATGATGTTTGACTGTACAGTTTCTCCATGGAGGAGAAGGTTCCTGGTTAACTCCAGCACTGGTAATTCATTTTCCCTACTGTGATATTCTGTACAGAGTTTAACTGGGGATAGTAATATGAATTAGGGATGCAAAAGGTTAACCAGTTAACTGGTTACCTGGTAAGTGTTAGCTTTACTTTCATGCTTATCCAGTAAAATGGACGGCCAAGCCCAGGGAGAGCAATCCCCCAGCTGCAATAGCCTGACTGGCAGGACCCTAACCATGGTGGGCCCGGTTGGGTGGGAGCAGCCTTCCACAGTTAACCAGTTAAATTATTAAAAGTATATTGTTTATCGGTTAACTTTTTTAATGGGCATTTACATCCCTCATATGAATCTAAACAGGTTGAATGGCTACCCTATAAAAATGACCCTGCAAAAAGAACATGATTGGGATGCCACAAATTTCTCTGCACGCAAAGCAAATCAGTCAAGAGAGTCACCTTGTAGCTGCTTAGTCTGGACACCTCAACCCTAGTTCCTATAGACCCCAGGGGCTCTCAGTTTCTCATCACCTGTCCTTTATCTGGGTCTCTAGTGCTTTAGTAGGTGGGAAAAATCTCTCCCCTTCCCAGATACTTCTCAGGGAGCTGTACCTCATGCAACATAAATTTGACCAGACTGGGAATTCTGTATAGTTTGAAACAAGCAGAGCAGGAATAAAAGGGGCTGCAGTTTTAATCAAATTAACTTTATAAAGGAGCCTTCATATTTAAAACATTTTTAAAAAACCCTTCTGAATAGTGTTCCCATTGATGTCACTGAGGTTTTTATAATTCCTTCCCTTGGTCTTCAAAAGGGGGGGACTATAAAAGGTTAAGACTCTGTAATGAGCTTCTTTAAGGATTGAAGGATGCACCAGCTCTGAAATGGCTTTAAATCCTCAGTGATGCTGTTTTAATCATTTTTTTTAAATAATGGAGATTACCTATCTCCTAGAACTGGAAGGGACCTTGCAAGGTCATTGAGTCCAGTCCCCTACCTTCTCAGCAGAACCAAGTACCATCCCAGATGAATTTTTGCCCCAAATCCCTAAATGGCCTGCGTAAGGATTGAACTCACAACCACAAGGATTGAACTCACAACCATGGGTTTAGCAGGCCGATGCTCAAACCACTGAGCTATCCCTCCCCCACTAAAGGCTAATGCTGCATCTAGACTGGCATGATTTTGCGCAAATACTTTTAATGGAAAAGTTTTTCCGTTAAAAGTATTTGCGCAAAAGAGTGTCTACACTGGCACAGATGCTTTTGCGCAAAAGCATCCATGCCAGTGTAGATGCTCTCTTGCGCAAGAAAGCTCCGATGGCCATTTTAGCCATCGGGCTTTCTTGCACAAGAAATTAACTTGCCTGTCTACACTGGCCCTCTTGCGAAAGAATACTTGCGCAAGAAGGCTTATTCCTGAGTGGGAGCGTCAGAGTATTTGCGCAAGAAGCGTTCTGATTTCATACATTAGAATGTCAGCGTTCTTGTGTAAATTCTCGCAGCCAGTGCAGACAGGCGGCAAGTTTTTGCATAAAATCTTGCCAGTTTAGACGCACCTTTTGAGCGAACACATCCAATGATATGCCTGTGTCACCCACTGGTCAGTGTTTGTTACACATCCCCTCTGTGTCTTAATGTGATGGAATGCCCTCTTGTATTTAGACCCTACTCATTATTGTAATAATCTTTGTACAAGGAATATGCCTTGTGAGGTATCTATCTATTCCTAGTAGATGTTGTTTAACACCCTTCTTAGTTATTAATGGACTATAATTCATAATCCTCCTGTAAGATCAGTACATCAATCTACTTCTTTTCAAATACAGAAGAGGAATACTTATTGAACACTTAGGGTGTATCTAGACTACAGGGTTTATTTCGAAATAAAGTGGCCCTTTTTTGAAAAAACTTCCCCTGCATCTAGACTGCTGCCGCGTTCTTTCAAAAGTAAATCGAAAGAACGCAGCCATTTTTTTGACTGCAGAAAACCTCATTTTATGAGGAATAATGCCTTTTCCGAAAGTGCTCTTTTGAAAAAAGGCGCTGTGCAATGCAAACTGTGCTTTTTCAAAAGAGAGCATCCAGTCTGCCTGGGTGCTCTTTTTTGAAAAAGTGGCTTGCTTTTTCGAAAGTACTGTACTGGTTGTAAAAAGGCTTTTTCTTTCAAAAAAGCCTCTTTCGAAAGAGGCTTGCTGTCTAGACGTAGCCTTGAGGGTTTCGCCTCATTGTTAACATTTTTACCACCATCTAGGAATGAAGTCATTGCATTGTACAGATTTCTTTTCTTCTTGATATATTTAAAAATGCCTTATAATCCTTAGCTCTGTCAGCCTATGGAGTCTTCGCTAATGTCCTTAGCTTCCCTTATCTTATGGCTACACTTCATCACTTCTAATTTAGATTGATTGCTACCTATTTTCCATATTTCTAATTTGTTGTAGATGTTATTTATTTCTATTTTTTTCCTTCACTTCCCCTGTAGATTGATAGAATAGACTTAGTCCCTGCACTTTCTCCTGCAGACATTTATTTTCCTGCTAGATTGCTGTTTTGAAATATGAAAACAGTGTAGACAATGGGATATTTGGGTTCCAATCCCTGTCCATATATGAAGCTCTGGCTGCATAAGGAGTTTGTAAAAACACCAAAATGGCCTAGGGAAGAATTCTCCCAAAGCAGGAGCAGCACATGGCTACCATAATAGGGCAGCCGAGCCATAATAGGGCTGTGCTGTGCCTGTTGCAAACACTGGAGTTGGAATGGTGCTGGAAACATTGCTGGAGGCTGTCAGGCCTATGGGGGCAATCCCCGAAGCACTGAGAACTATGCAGAATCTGGACTGTTCCAAGCTGCGGATTAGCCTATAGGAAACATGGGTAAGGAAGGTGTAAATAAGAGCAGCCTTTGGTGGCCTTCTGCTCCTTTGTCCTTTACCACTGGACTGTGCTACAAGCACTGAACCTTCAAGAGCATTAAATGACAGCTTGGATATTAGGGAGGAGCAAATATTTGTTCACACTGCAATGTTTCCCCTGTGGAATGTTGAACTTACAATTTACAGCAGCTGTATCTTCGAGAGCATATTCCAACCAACTTATAATTGTCACGACATGGTCCACTGACACAGATACCCCCGCTACGTCTACATCGTCTCCTGGAGCTGCGAGCCTCAGAGGATCCTGCACAAAAGAAAAGTGTCTTCATCATCATTCTTCAGAACAGGATAAACACGAGTGGTGCTTCTTGGGTGATGGGTAAAGCCCTGCAAATCTGCGGACATCTGCTTTATATCTACAAGTATCCACATTTGCGGAAGTCAATGTGGATAGCCATGGCTCATTTTTGTGGCTACAAATGTGGATGCAGATATACATTTTGTATCCACACGGGGCTCTCATGACAGGCATTTCCCATTCACCGAGACCTGGGGAAGTCAGCCCCATTATTTCCCAATCTCACACTATTATCACAATCTCAGCACTATTTCCATGGCTACCTTTCTCTCCACATGCAGTGTCAGCCTCTAAGAAAACAGCTGAGTTAATTAAACAGGAGCACTGACTCTCAAGCTGCAGAGGTAAGAACCCTCTGAGCACAACTGTTGTTCACTGCCTCCTGAGTTTAAGGACTGGAAAGCAAATAGCTGCCTACATCACCAGCTTCCCTGAGTGGCTGCTACGCTGGCCCTGACAATGATGTGCCAGGCAGTATACTCAATGGAATTTGGCCAGGTAGGGTTGAAATGGCTTAGCACTGCATTGCATGATGACACAGTTTCAGAAGTAAGGGCCCCCTTCTGGTCTGAACACTTGCCTGACTCTGAGAGTTGGCCCAGATTTTATTATGAAGATTCACTTGGGTCTAGCATCTTCACGGCCATTCGCTAGTTTGTGTTTCTATCTGAAGGGTCATTGTTTTGAAAATACAGCTCAAATGTGCACAGCTAAATCTTGTAGATTTTTTAGGTTAGACCATTTAAGCTGGAGGTTGTTGGGCAACCTAAATTGTCATTGTCGTGTCAGCAAAAACGGTGCCACTCATGGGTGGCAAGTGTAAGAGGCAAGTGCCTTCTCTGGGTCTTAGTGCTCAACCGCTCATCCCTTTCTATCCCTATTCTGACTCTCCCTACAGGCTGCCACAGCAGGCTGTGGCAGTCTGATGAGTCTTCCTACAGCATGGATCTAGTAACTTAAAAGCGGAAAACCTTCCAGCTTTCCAGACCATTAACTGATAATGAAGCTCTTTAACAACCTGGAGGCGGAGCTCTTTAACAACCTCCTTTGCCAGCCTGGAGGTATATACAGTATTGTCAATTTCTGAATGTACTGACAAAAACAGTTGTGCCTTACATATTTACTCAGAACCTGTTAGTCTGCAGGCTAACCCTATGTTTAAAATGAGCTTTAAATATTTCATTAGTTTGTTGCTGAAGATTATAAAAATCACATCTCTAAAAAAAAAACCGTGCATAGATTTTTAGATGCACGGGTATTCACAATCCGAGTATTCAGCTTTAAATGTTTGGATCTTCAGAAACACAATTTTTAAAATAAATTCTTCGAAAGACCTCCTTTATCTAAAATATACATTTTAATTTGAATTACAATAGCACAAAAATTTGCTTCCAAAGTCGTCTTGTCAATCCTTGCTGTAATTTTTCTCCCTTCGTAACCCCTGTTGATGAAAGCCCTTAAAGGTACAAACCCTCTTTTCTTCCAGATAGGTGGACAAATTAGTTTCCCTTTCTTTATTTCTGACTATCTGATGAATTAGTTTTAAGAGAACCCTCCACAAAAAACAGTACCTTAGTAAGATATAAAATCTGATGTTATGCTTAAAATCTCTGGAAATACATTTTAACATAAACATATGGTGAACTTTCATAAACATGTCTATTTTTATGTAGATTACACAAAATAAATTAGCAAATAACATTGTTATGACACTAAACCACTCTCACGGATTAATTTAAAATAATATCTTTGTCATAATGTGTTAAATATGCAGTAATCGGGAATGATTACTTTATGAAGGCTTCAGAATTCATTTACAAATAAAATAAGCTTAGAAATACAGATGAAAAAAAAATGTAAAACAGAAGAGCTGCATCATGTATTCCATAATATTTAATGTTGTATTCATCAGGACAACTGACTTATCCTCACTACAAAGTTTTTGCAGATAAATCTCTGACCAACTTCAAAAAACCTGAGACTGACATTTTTTATTCCCAAATCTAATGTGTTTAATTTAATGCATGTCCCATCTGCACAATCTGGAATGCAGGGGAACATATGCTCCATGTTCTTTAAGGAAAAAACTGTAGAAGAGTTTTCTTTTTCAAATGTCATTTGCTACATTTGCGTTCAGGATTTTGACTGGAAGGGGGTGAGCAGGGAGGAGGAGGGAAGAGAGGAGGAGACAGTGGGGCTGGGCAGGGCCTGTGCAGAGTTGGGATTGGGCCTGGGTTGGAGTAGGAGTGGAGTTGGAGTGGGGTCAAAGGGTGGAAAACTTGCTTCTCCAAGTAGCAGCTTCACCCACCACTTATGGTCCAACTGCTTCCAGCCCTATGCACCTTCTGTTAGATCTAACGTTATAGTGAAAGAGGTTGCCTAAGCTTCATTTTTTCTATATCCCATCTGGGTGTTCAGGACTGTGATGGCCTGTTATAGGAAGACTATGTGTTTTGCAACTCCAATGTGGGGTGATTAAATTGCAAGTCTCAGCAAACTCTCAGGAGAAGATGGAAGGGAATTTTTTGGATAGGTTATCATTCAATCAAATCTCAATGATTCTTATTGGGAGCAGCAAAGACACATCTCTGATTTCAGGACAAACTTTCTAAAATGTCACATGTTGTCTGCAAACTGAAGAGGCGCTGGAACTCCTCAGGGAAAAGTCAGAAACTTGTGACTAATAGAAAGCATTGGACCGTAGTATATGTCCCCAGCTACCCCCCATCTCACCTTCCTTTTCATTTTCATCTTACCTGGGGCACCCAGCAGCAGCACGAAGATGAGAGCAGAGAGCAGATAAAGGATCTTCATGGCTCACCGTCAGCTGGGAACTCACCGTCACTAGAGGGAACAGACATCAAGACAGAGAGGAGACAGAATGGCCTTGTATTTCTTGGACACTGAGGCGTGTGATGTGCTGAGCTCAAGAAGTATTGTTCTAATCTAAGTTACAATGAGATGTTTTATAATAAGAACATAACATTAGAGTGGCCCTATTGGGTCTGACCAATGGTCAATCTTGCCCAGGATCCTGTCTTCTGACAGTGGCCAGTACCAGGTCCCCAGAGGGAATGAACACAGCAGGCAACCATCAACCTCCCCTGTCAGCAGGCAATCATCAACCTCCCCTGTCACCCTTTCACAGCTTCGCACAAAACAAGGCTAGGGACACTATGTCTCCCCATCTTGGCTATTACCTATTGATGGACTGCTCCTCCATGAATTTATCTAGCTCTTTTTTGAATTCTAAATCTCTGAGGGTATGTTTACACTTGCACCCTATTTCGAAATAGGGATGCAAATGCAGACATTCGAAATTGCAAATGAAGCCGGGATTTAAATATCCTGCACTTCATTTGCATAATCACGTTATGGCGCTATTTCGAGTTAGCACTATTTCGAATTAACAGATGCTGTGTAGATGCGGTTATTTCAAGAGAAAACCCTTCTCTCGAAATAACTGTTAAACCTCATTGTACGAGAAATAAGGGTTATTTTGAGAGAAGGGTTTTCTCTCGAAATAACCGCATCTACACAGCGTCTGTTAATTTGAAATAGTGCTAACTCGAAATAGCACCATAACGTGATTATGCAAATGAAGCACAGGATATTTAAATCCCGGCTTCATTTGCAATTTCAAATGTCTGCATTTGCATCCCTATTTCAAAATAGGGTGCAAGTGTAGACATACCGTATTTTCCGGCGTATAAGGTTACTGGGCGTATGAGACGACCCCCTAATTTTTTAGTTAAAAAATTTAGTTTGCCAGAGCAAAGCCTCAGAAGCGCGGCACCCCGCTGCTGCTTCGGCTTTGCTCCAGGTGCCTCTGGTCTGCTGGGGACCGTCTCCAGCAGACCAGGGACACCGGGAGCAAAGCCTCTGAGGACGCCCCGGTAGCGTGACAGCCCCGGCGCGTCTGGGCTGCCCCGCCGCCTGTATACCCGGCGTATAAGATGACCCCCGATTTTTGGAGGATGTTTTTTAGCATCAAAAGTTGTCTTATACGCCGGAAAATACGGTACCCTGAATGATAATCATGATTGCTATCAATATAGATCCATAGAAATACTAGAGAAATACAGTGCTATAAGGCAATACACATTTTAAAAACGGACATTTTGTAACTAATTGTAATTCACTAGTTTCTTAAATTAGGTTTCTCATGGTAATCTCATTCTCCTTAGCCAAAGTACAGACAGGAGAATTATGAAAGATGGAATGCATTTCGTTAACCAGTAGAATTGAAAGCAACTAAGAAAATACAGAGAGCAAAATAAAAGTGGTTGGATGCTCATGTTTATGACATTTATAAGAATGGATTCATTCATCATGTGATATTGCAGTTTATCAATAGATAATAAATCATATCAATTCTTTCCAGGTCTTATGATAGTCATGTTTCTCAATTAAACTTTACCTAAGTTCTGAACAATGCTGAGCAGGTGACTTTGGTACCAACATGGAACCCTGAAACCTTAAATGCAGATTTGTTTCCATTTCTAATTAAGCTGATCACCAGTGAAATCATTGGCATGGATGTTGGAAACTTTCAGATAAGTGGGAGTATGGCTAAAGGGGAATGCTGAGAAATTGTAGTGCTAGGAAGCTGGGGCAGGATGAACAAGGAGGACTAGACTAAGCCATGTGTCATGCCTGTACACGGCAGTGATGTGGAATCCAGTAGGGTGTAGACAGAAGCAGAGGCCAAAGGGAGGCAGAGACAAAGGTGGAGGAGAGAAAAGGGGAAGGAAAGAAGGAGGAGAGAGGGAGGAGCTGCAGGAGAGAGGAGCTTCCTTGGTTCTGCATGAGTGCTTCTCAGCACTGACAGCCTGGGAACCAAGCCACCCTACCTGTCACTGTTTGTACTGGTGCTTGCAAAACCCTGGGCTGTCAATGTCAGAACACAATCTAGCAGCACCTTCTCTCCTCCATTGGTTCCTCCCCTTTTCTCTCCTCCCTCTTCTCATTCACCTCACTCCAGCTTTGAATCCTTTCTTGAATTCCACCCCTTTCTTCCCCTGCCCTTTGCCCTCCTAATCTCTTCTCTGTTCAGCCTTCGCCTTAACCCCTTCATTGGTTTCTGTCTTGCCTGCTTACTCTCTCTTTCTCCTCACTTTTGCTCCCCTCTCCACCTTCTCTCTCATTCTTTCTCCTTTTTCTCGCTGTCCTCATCTCTGGCTCCAAAGTCCTCCCAAACTGCAGTGTAGTGTTATTTAACCAGGAGGTGATTAACTAACACAACACTACAGGAGAGATAGACTGGGCATTCAGATAAGTAGGATTTCTGGATGTAGGGAATTCAGACAACTGGAGTTACCCTGTAGATGGTTTTCCCTCAGTTACCTTTAAAATATGAACAATCTTTTCATTGGAGTAAGTACAACAAGTGCAGTTTTGCTACTTATCCATTTAAATTGGCATGATGGTGTGTCCTCCCGCTCAGCCTCCCAATCGCCCAGAGTGGTTGCTAGAAAATTTATGCAGGTAGTTCAATGGTGGCTTGTTCTCTCTCAGGATTTCACAGCTGTCTGCCTGGATACGACTTTCAAAGGAGAGTTAATCAGTTATTATCAGAAATGTGACTTTAGTACTCACCAGACAGGGGGTGCTCTCAGGAGCCAGCTGATGACAGTCCCACTGAACAGAATGAGGCTTTGAAGAGAACAGCTTGTTTTATACCATTGCTGAAGGGTTGGTTTCTTCTTGACAAAGCAGCTATGGATCAATCAGAAGGTGAGCCCTGCTTCTGGGGCAGATGTGAAATGTGCAACCGCCGTTTGGAGGTTGGAATTCTTGCAACCCTGGCTATGGAAAATTCCATGGTCTTTGTGCAAAATCTCTTGAGCCACCCCAGGTTGTGTAATACACACTCGACCACAGAAATTTGTGCAAAACATCTTAGGACATATAACACCCACCTCTGAACAGCAAGGGGCGTCCTCAGACCACTGTCCATAAGCCTCCCTGCCTCTCCGTTCTTGGCCAACATCTCCACGTCCTCCTCCAAGTGGCAGTTTCTTTGTTAGCACCTTGTGCTTCGTGCAGAAAGATCTTTCTTCTAGTCAGGAGGGATTCTATATGTAAAGTCCTTTCATGTTCCTGGATGATTCTTTATGTGTTTTACATCTCATCATGCAGCAACATAAAGCCACTTTACTCATTTGCATGGTGCATTGCTAATAAAGTTGGTATCAATTAAATCCATGGTAAAACAAATCATTCTAATGCCTCCGTATCAGTAGGTGAGGAATCTCTACATTTCATTTGTAAAATAGTAGAATTGAATGAAATATTTCAAAATACTAATAAATAATAGCAATAATTAACAATACAAATGTTAAGTTCCCTTTGCAGGTCACTCCTTGTTTACAGACCACCCCCTCCCAATCTAAAATACATACTAATCACACACCCCACAACAATAACATTAACACAGGAACCAATCCCTGCATCAAACTCCACTGCCAATTATGTCCACACATCTACCCTAGTGACACCATCATAAGACCTAACCACATTAGCCATTCCATCAAAGGCTTGTTCACCTTCACATGTATTAACGTGACATATGCCATCATGTGCTAGCAATGTCCCTCTGCCATATACATTGGACAGTATTTATGCAACAGAAAAAATAGACACAAACCAAACATCAAGAATGGTAAAACACAATAATTAGTGGGAGAACATTTTGACCTCCCTGGACTCTCAGTTACAGACTTAAAAGTTGCCATCCTGAGGCAAAACAACTTCAAAACCAGGCTGCAATGTGAAACTATCAAGCTGGAATTCATATCATAATTGGGCACTATTAGAATGGGTCTGAATAAATAATTTTCCAATTTAGGTATTCTCACTTATACACATCCACCTGGATTGAATTAGCTTTGATGTAATACTTTCAACGCTGTATCCCTATTGTCTGTTTCTTTTTCTTTCCTTCATGTATCTGATGAAGTGAGTTGCAGCTCATAAAAGCTTATGCCATAATACAATTTTTAGTCTTTAGAGCCCCGCTGGATCCTGGTTTGGTTTAGTAATAATAACGATTGTTATCTAGACAGCATCATTGATCTATCTCCTAGGAGAACTTCAGAAATATACAATTGTGTAATGCAAGATATTTTTTCAAACCGATGTTTCATAAATAATTTTAATTAAGCAGTTATTTATTTTTGGTTTATCATGGAAATCTCTTTTGTTCTGATCCAAAATACACATTGGAGAATTATTACACATGTATGCATTTTATTTGACAAAACAGAAATGGCAAGAATGAAGAAATGACAGAAAGACAAACAGAAGCGATTAGATGCTCATGTTTATGGAATTTATAAGAATGAACTCATCATGTGATGTTACAATTAACCAAGAACTAATCAATCACGTCAATTCATTCTAGGTCTTATCATAGTCTTGCTACTCTGTAAAGCTTGAACACCAGGTGGTGACAGGCAGAGTGGTGGAGACAGGCAGAGCAGACAGATCCCCAGCACGATCAGTCAGGAGAAGATGAAATCCCGGCAGAACTGATGCAGAATTTAGATGCAGGCATCAGAACACTTTACTTGAGCGTGTGTTGGGGTTTTTGTAGGGGAACAATAATAGTTTCAGAAGAGATTATTGACGCACAGGTGCAAGGGAGTACACAGATGGTTCAAGGAGTATTCTAAAGTTGTTTTGTTTAGGCTACACCAGGGATTCCCAACCTTTTTCGGTCCCTGTACCCCCTTGGCTTTTAGTAAACCTTCCCATGCCCCCTATTCAATATAAAAGGAAATAAATTCTAGACTCGAGAATCCACAACTTTTTTCACTAACGCTACTACTTTTGGAATATTTCAATTAGGATAATCTAGTTATTTACCAAATATTCCCCGTCCCTCCTTGACAAGCTTCTCGTACCCCCTGGGGGTATGCATACCACAGGTTGGGAACCCCTGGGCTACACAATGGGAACTGATCATTCCTGGTTATGGTTGGTGTTGCTTGGAGATGGCTCATAATGCAGGTAGAGAGCTTGAATATTTTGTCTACCAATTGAGGGTTTAATTACTAAAATTAGTCTGATTATTATTGTTCTGAGTGCGGACAAGAGTGGGTTCAGTAGCATCGGGAACAGAGACTTCCCAATGCTTTCCTGCTTTCTGTGTCCCAAAGTTCAGTGTGATTCCTGCTTTGGAATCTCTGTTCTCCGTTCTGTATGCTAATGGAGATGTCTTTCTGTCTCATCTTCCATGCAAATGAGGCTAGGGGTCTTTCCTCAATCCTGTCACCTTTGTCCAGTGGGGTTTAGGTGTGTCTTCCCCTGCCCTTTCATTGCTTTTTGCATTGGCAAAAAGCCCAAGCAGAGGCTGGGGAGAGGGATCTTCTATGAGTACTATGCCCTGGTCCCCCAAGAATACACAGTTGGTAGGTAACAATGACATGAAGGTGTGTACTCTGGTTCAGTCTCACAATAGCCCTGGGTAGTTTCTTTAGATTACAAATGTGTTCTTGTTCTCCTTCTGGATTTCACAGACCTCTCTCCGATAGGACATTAAAGAAAGCTGATGGAGTGATTTTCAGGGAAGAGACTTTAGTGCTTACCAGACAGACAGTGCTGTCAGTACTCAGGTGGGTTACACCTTCTGTCTCTCTCATCCATGGAGTGACACTTTGAACAGAATAGCTTGATTTTTTTTTTTTGCAGATTCCTAAGGCTTGCATTTTTCTATGCAAAGCTACTGCGGGCCAGTGAGAAAAAGATCCCTGCTTCTGAAAATGATTTGAATGTCCAGCCACGATTTGGGTATTGGTATTCTTGCAACATTGTGCAAAACTCCATGGTCTTTGTGCAAAACATCTTGTGTCCTCTCAGATTGTGTAAGACACGTTAGTCCGCAGGGGTTTGTGTAAAATGTCTTGGGACATCTAACGAACACAGGCTGGTTTAGCTCTGATCAGCAACTTACTTCTTAAGGCCCCTTTCTGGTGGCCTCCCTGAGGAGTGTGGTCCTTCACCAGCTTGACTTAACTCTGTGTCCTTCCTCATGTGGTAATTTCTGCATCAGCCGTTTGAGCTGCCTGCAGAACTGTCTATTTTGCAGGCAGGAGAGATTCTTTATTTACAGTCTTTTCACATCCTTTGATGATTCTGTATGTTTCATAGCTCATCACACCCGAACATAAAGTCATTTGACTCATTCATTATTTATAATGTTTTCATTACTTATAATGTTTATAACAATTAAATCTATAGTTAGACAAACCACTCTACATGGCACTGTACTAGTAGCTGGATACGCTCTTCTTTTCGTTTGTAAAATAGCAGGATTACATCATGAATTTAAAAATGCTCACAGTCCAGAATAACAATATAAGCTGCCTCTGCACCCGTCAGAACATTGATCAGGCTATGTTGTTGTCTAGGCCCCTATATTACATTTTAGCAGAGTTCACCTTTCGAATTTTCATTTCATATTGGCTTCAAATTTATCACTTTATTTGATATAAACCAAAGCTTTTGTTACATTTTTTATAATTAGGTAGGCATTATTGGTGATGCAGTACAGTGTTCCCCTGAAGATTTTCCATCCATGAGCAGAGTAAGTTTTGACAGGTGAACCAATAGTGAGGTCATCATGTACACTTGTTCAGATGTGTGTCACTATGGCACCCAAGTTATTAACAAATATATATTTTTAAAAACATAGCTCAGTGGTTTGCATATTGGCCTGCTAAACCCAGGGTTGTGAGTTCAATCCTTGCAGAGGCCATTTGGGGCAAAAATTTGTCAGGGATGGTATTTGGTCCTGCTGTGAAGGCAGGGGACTGAACTAGATGACCTTTCAAGGTCCCTTCCAGTTCTAGGAGATAGGCAATCTCCATACAATATATATATATATATATATATTGTGGAAGCACAGGGAATTGGTATGTAGCCATTTCAGGTTTGTCAGCAGTGAAGCAAGAGTCAAGCTAACTCTAACCCTAACAACGGGAGATCTGTAAAAGATCTCGCTTCTTGTCTGGTTTTAGGAGATAAGGATAGAATACTGACTCTTGCAGGGACTTTGAGATAAGGAGCATCTGGGTGGAACTAAAATAACTGTTAGCCATTGGTGTTTGTAATGGGAAGGAGACTAATTGTTTATTGCTATTATATGTAATGGACAGTATATAAACTGCTTCATAATTGTGTAACCCCTCCTGTTGGTTAGCCCAGTGGGAGGTTATTCAGCATAGGGGAAGCTTGTGACTTCTTACACCACTGTGGGGGGAGGGCTAGGCCTGAGGCTGCTTGGGGTGCTCTGCGTTGTGTATGTGTGAGTGCACCTCAGACCAGACCCACTCCGACAAATCACCAGAACAGGCTTTATTCTGTAAAAAACATAGAACAGGAAAACAGTTCAGCAGCCCCTTCTCTCAGCATGCAGCCTGTGTGCTGCTTCTAGCACAGTCCTTGCTGAGACCCTGCTGGGAGCAGAGGGCGCATCCTGGCAGGAACCAGGAAGTTCTCCCAACATGCTGCAGTTTGTAGTCCACAACTTGTAGTTCCCAGGGCTGCTGTTGAAACACACTGGACCTTGGGCTACAATTGCTTGCATTCAAAGATCTGCCAGGGAAGGGGGAGGGGGGGGGCTGTCCTCCCCCCCTTGCCCAAATCAGTTTTTCCCTTGCTGCAGCTCATAATAAAACTGCCTCTGGCTACTTGTTGCTTAAAAAGGCAAAGTGAAGGCTTGTTTTCTTCCACAACCCAGAAGAAGGTGCCACAGATGACTGACCTCTCTCTCTCTC